TTTCATAACCTGGGTGAAGGTGGAAGACACTGTTCTGAGTGAGACAGGTCAATAGTATAGGAGCCATTACTGTGAAGAGTCAAGGAAAAGTTACACAAGGAAACTGTCTTTGAAGGAGGAAGGAGTGTGAGGGTAACTCTGGGAGTAGACACTGGCGGAAGGAAAGGGAAGGTCTGCAAAAAGTGATGAAGGTCAAGGAGACTGAGACAGGCCTGCAAGTTAAAGGCAACAAATAAATACCATGACAGACACAATCCTACAACAATGGTAATAACAATATCTACAAGTAGACACATAGACACGCCAGCAAAACAAAGCTCAGAAACAGAGTGGCTGTATCTGTCAAAGTGCTTCACAGAAGTTCAATCCAATGGGTGTGTATCTACAGGGGCTGCAGATACACTGACAGGTAGAGTAGACCACACGGCAGGCAAAGCTATGGAATGACAGCCACAACCAAACACCATACGGGAACGTGCCTCTGAGCTTGGGGCTCAGGACCAGAGTCTCGGGCCACATCAAAGTGCACAACACAGCGCAAAGGCAATGTCTTATATCCTGTTTGATGAGAAGTGATGGGGACTCAAAATCGAGACAGGGCCAATACAGCTATTGCAATTAGCACATAGGAACAAGATGTGTATAACTGTTCAAAGGGAAAGGGGAGAAAAAGTGCAGGAGAGGGGAGCAGGAGGGCAGTGGAGAGGAGTGGGCAGATGGGGACGGGGTGTGCAAGAACAGGAGAGGTGCAACAGGGACGTGAAGAGACTGGCTGATAAAAATCACAGATCAATAGTAATGAATTCTATTGTGAATTATTCTGCTTCTATTTCAAATACTAATGACATAAATTTTAGCTTCACAGAATCATGCAATCATCATAGCATAAGTGACAGATGAATGGTAGATTGTATTAATAAGATAGTAAATTGCTTTTTAAAATTTTTTTTTTTTACATTTTACAGACTTAGGATTTCCATTCATTCATTGTTGTGCTTTTCTCCCTGGCCACCCCTCCCCCAGTACACGCTTCTCTTTGAAAAGTAAAATTAAAATTCCTTCATTGTTATATAATCCCTCCCCCACCCCCACTCCCGCTCTACTCCATTATGCAGCCTCTGTTCTGGACTCCTGTCATGACAAAAATACCCACTCACGTATCCCTTTGAAACAGTTTTCTCCCTCATCTGTTTCAATGCAGTATGCATTATTCATCCCATCTTTCTCAGTCTCCCCTCAACACTGTTTACAACAGTGGCACCATGCAGTATTTGTCCTTTTGTGATTGAGATACTTCACTCAGCATAATGTCCTCCAGAGTCACCCATTTTGAATAATACTTCATGAGTTCCTTGTTTTTCCAATACAGCTTAGTATTCCATTGTGTGAATATACCACAGCTTCTCCATACATTTGTTTGCTGATGGGCACTTAGGTTGTTTCCAACTCCTTGCTATTGTGAACAAAGCCACAATAAACATGAGTGTGCAATAAGATAGTAAATTGTATAACACAAGTTGATGTTACTGAAATGATGTGTAATTAATGATTATGTAATTGGGTATTGTCTATAGATTAGCAATTTTTATATGATAATTCTGTTGTTTGTATAATATATGAAAGTTATCAAAAAAATCACTAAAACCACTAGCAAAATCCTGCTGAAGATTATCCGGAAACAACTGGAACTACCAGAAATACAAGCTGGGTTTAGAAGAGGTCATGGCACTGGAGACATTACCGCCAATGTCAGATGGATCTTGGCAGAAAGCAAAGAGTATCAGAGTACTGTCTATCTGTGTTTCATTGACTATGCAGAGGCATTTGACTCTGTGGATGACAACAAACTGTGGCTAACCTTAAGGAAAATAGGAATCACAGAACAATTGATTGTGCTTATGCTAAACCTATACTTGGGCCAGGAAGCAGACCTCAGAACAGAGCAATGAAACATTCCATGGTTCAAAGTCAGGAAAGGAGATTGTTAGGGATGCATCCTGTCTCTATACTTTTTCAATCTATATGCATAACAAATCATTAGGGAAGCAGGGCTTTATGAAGAAGAATGTGGCATCAGGATTGGAGGAAGACTCATCAACAACCTATGTTATGCAGATGACACAAACTTGCTTGCTGAAAGTGAGAAGGACTTGAAATGCTTGCTGCAGAAGGTAAAGGACTTCAATATGCATTGAAGATCAACATCAAGGAGACAAAAGATTCTCACCACTGGGCCAACTGGCATCACCATGATAGATGGAGAAGAGATTGAGGCTGTTAACATTACAGCTTGATCAACAACACAATACATGCTCTTGGCACCAGCAGTCAAGATGCATTGGGAAAATCTGTTGTCCAAGATCTCTCCATAGAACTGAAAAGCAACGATGTCAGTCTAGAGACTAAGGTGGTGCACCTAATCTAGGCCATGGTCAATTCCCTGCTATGCATCAGAGAGCTGGACAATAACTAAAGATGACAGAAGAAGAATTGATGCTTTTGAGTTGTGGTGCTGGAGAAGAGTCTTGAACATACCATGGATTGTCAAGAAAACAAATAGGTCTGTTTTGGAAAGGGTGAAACCAAGTTTCTCCTTGGAGGCTAGGATTTTGAAGCTCTGTCTCACATACTTTGGGCAAGTAGCCAGGAGAGACTAGTCCTTGGAGAAGGACATTATGCTTGGAAGGGTGGCGGAACAGCGCAGGAGAGGAAGACCCCAGATGAGATGGATTGATACAGTAACTGGGGCAATGGGGTTAGGTGTGTCAGAATCAGTGAGACTGGCTCAGGACAGGCAGGCTTCAGAGCAGCTATACATAGGATTGTAGCAACTTGACGGCACATAAGAAGAGAAAAAAGAAAGTAATTACCTGGCTTTTACTTCAAGTAAATTTTATGTCCTAAGTCACAATTATTTTAAGAATGTTGCATTAGGAAAAAAGACAATGTAAACAGCATTTCCATACAGATTCATTTCTTTAGCAGTTTATCCTTCATGTATTTTTTTCACATTGTAATATAGTATCTGTGGGTACTTTGATAAATTCTAACAGTGATAAAAAGTAACTAATTTATCAAAAGAAAAAATATTTTAAAATAGTAATAAATTCTATAAAACACAATGTATTGAGATGACTATGTATGACAAAATGAAAGAATGTAAATAAAAGAGGTAACAATTTTAAAAAGCATGTGAGTGGTCACCTGAGGTATAACACTTAGTCTTTTCCTGCTCCGGAGCAAACAAGAGGGAAGAAAATCAGAGAGTGTGGAAGCAATCAGCCCGAATGATGAATGGACCCCGAGAACCTCCATTACCCTGAGACCAGAAGAGTAAGTTAGTACCCAGCCAGCACTTCTACAGCTCTGAAACAAGGCCTGCGCCTGCCTTGAACACAGTGGGAGAGAAACATGGAACAAAACTCAAAATCCTAGAAAAGACCAGGCACAGTGGTCTGATAGAGAGCAGTGGACCTCTTAGACAATGGCCCTTAGTCACCCCTAATCCTAGACTTGAACCTCCTCCTGTGGCCCAACGGTCAGCCGGTAGACAAGCCTATAACGTGAATAACACAAGTAAGGAACACACTCCGTAGAATAACCAGTCATCTGTGATTAAAGGGCAGCATCTGCCCAGGGTAAAGCTCAGACGGCAGAAGTGAGAGGAAAGGAGGAGGAATGGAGACAGGACAGAGAGAGGGAGGATGTGGGAAGGTGCTGTATACTGTGGGGATTGCCATCAGTGTCACAAAACAAACTGTACCAACTGCTGAATGGACTTGCTATGATAACATTAACTCAAACCACAAGGAAAACTTTTTTTAAAAGGCCTGAGAGCTCCAGCTCCTCCCGCTCATTTGCCAGCATGGTTTGAGGTAGACAGCAGTGCTGAGAGGTCACATGTGGCAACAAGAAGGGGCTGGAGCAGAGACACAGTCAGGATGGCCCTGTCCCCAATGTGTGAGCGCCCGGCCAGCTGTGAGGGCAGAATCCAGAGTGTGTGACCCAGAGAAGCTGGCAAGTGTGCAGAGCCAAGCCTTTGTCCACTGGGCAAGAGACCCCAGTGAAGCCTATAACTGAAACACTTGCTCACTGTCTCTTAGCACTTCAGGACACGGACCCAATGAGCACATCCCTGTATCACTGCCAAGAGGCCTCCCCACGGCCAGGCAGATGAGGGTGCAGACCATGGGCACAGCCACCAAGGAGTCAGGGAGCCCCAGACTCTGAGATGCTGTGACTCTCTCAGTAGACAAGCAGTTGGAAGGCTTGGTAAGAGGTGCAGGACCCGTGAGCCCATCCATCAGCCAGGATGCACGGTTGCTGGAGCCCCAGCACCATGCCTGGAAGGCAGAGCCTCTAAAACAATAGCAGCACCTCAAACTCAGGTGGGAACTCACCTGCTGACAGTCTTGGGAAAGTGGGGCCCCACGAGTCTGTCCACAGAGATCCACAGGGTTGGGGATTTGAGGTAGCCAGGCATGGACAAGGACCCCAGATCCCCTGCCATGGACAGTCTCTAAGCTGGGGTCAGTGTACCCAGACGCTGACAGGCCATGAAGCCCCCAGTGGAGAAAGCTACTAGTTCTAGGACAAGCCTGGTGGTAAATGCCAACAAGGGGGGGGGGGCTGTCCTTATGGTCTGCACAGTGGCTGTGTAACCACAGAGAGGCCTTGCAGGTACCTGCAGCCTCATGTTCATGGAGTTCAGGCGCTGTGTTCAGACCCCAATCTGGGAACATGGGAACATGGCCCAAGGGGAAGGAAGGGTCAGGGGAAATCCCGGGCCTCTCCTCTCCCAACCAGAGCAGGGCCCATAGACGACTGCAGAATGGCAGCAACCCTCAGTGCCACACAGACCCCGGATTGGTGTGGAGATGGGCACCTGGCTGCCAGAGCAGGCCCTTGGCCCTTGGCCCTCACAGTGATGCCAGCTCAAACTACTTCCTGGCAGTGGCCACAAGAGAAAATGGGCAGAAGCATGTTTCCAAAGGACATACCTGGAGCTTTCTCCACGAAAATGACTTTGGAGTCCTGCAGAAAGTTGTGTCCTGAGAGCACCATCTTCTTGCCACCAATCGCAAGGTAACTGTCTGTGCTCTGCTTCTCCACCAGCGGCAACTCCTGGGCCGACCTCTGAGCTGGGGGGATGTAGGGAGAGATGGACACAGTGTCAGGGCTGGGGAGACACAGAGCTGTGTGATGACAGCCACGCAGACCAGCTGGGGTGGTGGGAGGCAGAGGGTGATAGAAGCAGACCACAGGATGGGCCTAAAGCTACAATGGCACTTCCCACCCCTTTTATTTCTTCACTGTTACACCTTTTCTGCCTGCCTTCCCTCTCCCTTCTCCAGTCCACCCTATAATGCACCCCTTGTTTCAGACTATACCAATACATATAATGCATAATCATATATTCAGACAGTTCTTCCCCTCATCTCTCTAAAGCAGTGTTCATTATCTGTTCACTCTTTCCCCATTCCCTCCCCAGCTCACCCCATGTCTATCCTATTTTATAACAGCAGTGCTATGCAGTATTTGTCCTTTTGATGGAGATACTTCACTCAGCATAATGTTCTCAAAGTTCCCACATGTTGTGTAATGTTTTCTAGTTCACTGGTTTTCGGTGTTGCATAGTATTCCATTGTGTGGATGTCCAGTAGTTTTCTATCTATTCATTTATTGATGGGCATTTGAGTTGCTTCCATCTCTTAGCTACTGTGAATAATGCAACAATAAACATGGGTGTGCATACATCTGTTTGAGCTATGGCTCTGGTTTCTTTAGGGTATATTATAAGCAGTGGAACTGCTGGGTCAAATGGTACTTCTATTGCCAATTTCTTGAGAAAGCACCAGACTGCCTTCTACAGTGGCTGCATCATTTTACATTTCCACCTACACTGAAGTAGAGTTCCAATCCCTCCACAACCTCGCCAGCATTTGTTGTTTGCTGCAATGTCACTTTTAAAAAAAAAATTATTCTTTTCTGTGCATGTACCATCAAATCAGATCTGACTGGTACAGGAAGAGACTGCCCCTCCCCTCCTTCTCCAGCAGAGCATCTGGTGAAATCTCACTCTTGAGGTCAGCATGCACCTCCTGTCAGCTCACTACGCACTGTCTCATCTGTGTTCACAGCAAAGTCGTGAATGCCATCAGGCCCAAAGGAACCGAAGGTGCAGCTCCCTCCTCCACTTCAGAGGCTTTCAGAATTGTTCTCCAGAAACAACCCAAACCCACTCCTTAAACGCAACCTGCCCATCTGGGAAGCCGGGACCTTCATTCCTTGGGTGTCTACACACAAACAGGTGTCAAAGTGCACTGTGCCTGTATGTGCATGTAGATGCACATGTGTACATGCGTTATGTATGTGTGTACAGCCTACATGTATGAGTATGCATGTTTCCACACATGTAATCACACACCACGCACACGCATGAACGTGTTCGTTGCCCACATACATGTGAGTCTGCAACATGTGAACAAGGTCACATCTACACACATGAGCATGCACACATGTCCACACCACACGAATGAGCACAGCTCCATGGGTGTGAATGCACACACCCACACATGTCAACCTGCAGAGTTGTGTGTACATGCATGTGGGCATGTGTGTATGTATGTGAGCATGTGTGTTCTCTGCTCCTAATGCACTGTCTCTGAGAAAGTCTTGCAGAATGGGAGCACCCCACCTATGGTGGAGACGCTCTGGAGCCACCAGACTCAGTGCCCAGAGAACCGGGGAGCAAAGAACCCTAGCAGACAAGGCACTGAAGGCCTGTGACAGCTGACCACAGACCTTCCTCACCACCCCTGCCATCCCCTCCTGGGCTGTGGAAGGGGCAGCTGGGGAGCACAGCAGTCACAGTGTGATTGGGGATCACACCATCACTGACCCACTGAATGAAAGCCGAGCCACAGGTGCTGCACCGTCTCAGCCATGGCCTTATGAGGAAGGGGGTGATGAACCATAGCTGCCTCCGCTCACCGAGACTCTTGTCGGACCGGTGCAGAAACCAGGGCCACCAAGGAAAAAAGCAATCACCCACCCCGGGTATTTAACTGTTAGTCCAGTGCAGCAGGCTCCAAAAGCCTATGGCCCTCATCTCCGTGTCTGAGATGCAAGCAGACTGCTCTGTCCACGCAAACGGGCTGTCCAGACTCCATCCTCCCCTAGTTGCCCCATGGACACTGGGGCAATTTAGCTTGCTGCTTCTCAGCACCACCTCCCAGTGGGGTAACTGCTTTCCACACGCATGCACAGACATGTGGCAGGGACGCATGAGAAGACACAACAGCAAATGTTCCCATCAGTACTCACAACACTCGATGGGGTTGGACGCGACCTGCAGGGACAGGGTCCGGCCGCCAGGCTGCGGGATGTGGACACGGAAGACCAGCCTCACGCGTGTGTTCTTCCTCCCGATGTCCGTTTCCCCTTTGCGAAGCTCAATGTCAGAGTTCCTGAGCTTCAAGATCCCAGCACAGTCGATGCTGCGCGAGACAAGAGGCCACCCTTCATTTCCGTCTCCGTGTACTCATGTTTGAGCTCTTCACTGTCCACACCCAAGAGGCCCTGGTTCCAACACAGGATCTCCAGGAATGTCAGATATGGGCACTCACCACAAGCAGAGCTAAACCCTGAGGTCTTAAACCTGGAGCCTGCACCTGAGGTCTCTACCTGGGGTTCACACCTGGAGCCTGCACCTGAGGTCTCCACCTGGCATCTCCCCCTGAGATCTACACCTGGAGACTGCCCCTGAACTATGCACCTGAAATCTGCTCCTAAGGTCTAAATCTGGGGTCTACACATAGTGCCTACACCTACAGTCCACACCTGGGGTCTCTACCTGCAGCCTAAACCTGAGGTCTACACCTGGAGTTTACTCTTGGAACTGGCACGTGAGGTCTATATGAGGAGTTGACACCTGAGGTTACACTCCAAGTTTACACCTGAGAATGACACCTGGGTCCACACTTGCTGTGAGGTGGGGAACAGGAGAAACTCTGCATACCTTAATCACTGGCCTCCTGGCGTCTACGCCGATGTTTTTCCACCCACCCTTCAGATAGGTGGGTGGCCCTACCAGGGATTAAGTGGGAACACGGCTTGTGCTGACAGCGTGGTCCTTCTCAGGGTGCCAGGAAGGTTTCCTCAGAGTAGCAGGGGCTCACACACTGTCTCCACACCACAGTTCACCTTAAATCCTCTTCTCTAAGATTCCATATGGCCTCAAATGACACACATTTCAAGGGAAATCTCCATTAACTCAATGACGGGAAGTGCTGCCTGTCATTTTTCTGCAAGCTACAATACAGGCTTCCAGTGAACAAGCATTAGCGGACAAGGCAAGGCCAGGCAGTATAGACCAGTCATCACAAGGCATCCTGGAGGGCGTCCGTGCACCTTATCATGTTGTCCCTGTACACTGTTTGAAGTGTTTCAGTGCCAGGTATGCTAACTGCAGGGTCAGCTGACCTCAGCTCCACACAGTGCACTTAGTCCTCTCATCCTGACAAGATCCTGGTCTTGGAGAAACTTGAATGAGACCTGAGGCTCTGGAATGAATTCAGAGATGTGCTGAGTTCTCCAAATTCATCAGTAGCCTAAACGGGAAAAATGCTTTGGCTTGGAGGACATAAACATCACAGGTACTCTAGTGGGGTAGTTCACAAGACCCTCAGCGCCAGGCTTACACCTCCTCTCCTGCAACGCTGCCCCTCATAGTGTGCCCCATTCACTACCAGTTGGTGGGGCGCTCACTTCAAGAAGCAGCAAGCCAGCTCTTACATGTATTGGTGGAATTTCTTTGCTAAGCCAAGGTCAGTCTAGACCCGGGAGTGGAGGTGTTGGGTGGGACAGCCAGCAGAAAGTAGAGAGCAGATGTAGCACAGAGTGGATGTGATCCACCATGGACACGGCCCGGTGCAGACCTGGTCCACAAGGATATGCTCCTATTCAGATAGAACTCACTTCAGACATGACACTCTGGGGATGTGGTCCACTGTGGACATGATTCAATGTAGACATGGTCCACACGAACATGACCCAGCGCAGACATGGCCCACTTTGGACATGGCCCAATGAAGACATGGTCCACACAGATATAACCCAACGGGAATGTGGTCCACTTGTGGATATAGCCCTTCACGGTGTGACCCACTAAGGATGCCCAACCCGAAGTCCAGCTTACACTGCCCGCATGCTGTTCTCTGGCAGCAGCAGAATCTCCAAGACCTTGGTGTTGGAGAGAATCGTCTCATGGCTAGTGGTGGACACCGTCTTGCCCGTGATCCGGTGGACCTGGTAGAAGGCGTGAGGCCTCAGCAGGCGGTCATCTGCCGTCCCAATGAACAGTTGGAGTGTGAGGGGCTCATTTTCCAAGTAACCGTGTAACTGGTAAAAGAACAAAACAGTCAGTCCACTGAGCAGAGACCAAGAAAGCTGCTGGGAATCAACTAAAACTTTTATGAGCAGTGACCCTAATTCAACAAGAATGCTTGTGACAGGTGGAACGTGCCAGGGCCTGCTTCCCGCTCTCATTCCACTGCAATGCGGGTACGATCAAAATTGTGCTCAGGAATGTCCCATCATCTTGCAAGACCAGAGATCAGATGCGGGCTTCGAATAGTCTTGTTTCCTGAGAATGAACACATTTTATGATACGCACACACTCGTGCATGTCCACACAGAATGCATGTGTACACAAACACACATTTGTATATATGTGCACACACACACATGCAACACTCTCATACATCAGCCTGCAAATACATGCTGTATGCATACATACACATACTCTCACACATACACACTAACATATCTGTACAGCCATGGGATATGTGCACTCAGACACCCGTCACTAGCATCAGTACCACTGTTCTAACTGCTGTATCACCTTCCACAGCAGGACAATCTGGCAAAGATTCTCTGTCTTCGGTTCTTGGGGTCCTGCCCAGTGCTAGGTCTACCTAGCTAATGAACAGGGCCCGTTTCCCTACACGCACGGGCACTGATTGCATGCACAGGCACTGAGGAGGACATGGAGGGAGTGCAGAAGATGGCACACCTCCTAAAACCAAGATGCAGAGACTGCAGGATCGTCTGTGATGCTCCCACCTCTACAGTCAGCACTGTTCCGTAGAGGAAAAAATCCACTCTCCTGTGGTCAAAGAAACTAAAGCTAACGACAGTGCAAATCCACAACTGGTCAGGACTGACCAGAGAGTATCTGTATGTCCCAGGAACAAAGCAGAGACAGTCATGACCAGAAATCAGCACAAGCATGCCTGTTGGGAGGGCGCACTACCCTCAGTGTACCAGCAGCTGCAAGCTTCCGCAGAGGCAGCTTCTGCTGCAGCAGGGGCCTGGCCTCACACCACCCCCTTCTGGGCAAGTAGCCAGACTTAGAAGGTACCTCAGCCCCAGAACCACTGCCACTGGCCCTGTATGCCCTTCTACCCACAGCTCACATCTGGTTCCCTAAAAAACACTTGTTTCTAAAGTGCCTAATTGATTAACTTTTATCTTGAACACTGTTTATGATCACCACAGGATAAGGCCATTTGAAAGAGGCTGCGTTCAGCAGGTGTGTTTCAGTCTCACCTGCTCACGAGCGAGCGGCCTGCCCATGGGTGACCAGCCGCTACATCATCACACCTCCTCATGCACACGGGCGCTCCAGGAGGGAGGCCAGACACAGGGGACTGCCAAGGGGGTCTGCACACAGACTGGACTCAGAGGTCCACCAAGGGGGCTGGACACAGGGGATCACCAAGGTGCGCTGGACACAGGATTGCAAAGGTGGACTAGACATAGGGGGCTGTCAAGGAGGGTCAGGCCCAGGGGACTGTCATGGTGGGCTGGTTGCAGAGAATTGTCAAGGAAGGCTGGACAAAGGCACTACCGAGGGAGTCAGACGCAGGAAAGTGGTGAGGAGGGCGGGGACACAGAAATTCTCAGACCACAGGGTGCAGCAGTACCCAAATGCCCAGAGAGTCCTGATGAATAATTCACCTCTGGCCTCATTCGGCTGGTCCAGGTATCAGGTGCCTGGGCAGTATTCTGGTCTGTCTGGTGGCACCAGAGGAACTTGTCACCGGGCAAATCTGCCTCCTGAGTGAACTTCCACAGCCCGCAACGCCAGCTGGGCTCACGGTCACGGGGAGCTATGGGCCGTCAGGGAGCCTGGGTGAACCGCCATCAGTATTTACAAGGCAATGTGTGCAACCAGCCATGGCACGGCCAGGCGGGCTGAGGTCACCTGTGTCCTGGACATGTCCCGCAATGTGGCATGGGCTGACTGGTCAGAACTGTCCACACAAGTGTATCTACTTGACACATGTGTGTCCACATGAGTGTACTCACACACATGTACAACACACTCATATATCACTTAATTCATATACACGTCCACACGCAGAGAAGCAAACTCATATTCATGCGTTTATACATTCACGTGAGTGCACTCATGTTTACAAACACTCACACGGACACACGATTACACTCATCACATGCAGACTCACACACATTCATGCTCATGTTCTCATGCACGCATGCACAATCACACCCACACTCACACACATGCACACACAGTGGTCTAAGTATTGTTTGGTGATGGTGTGGTTTCTGCCTTGCAGGAGGAAATGCGTGACACGCTTTGCTTGCACTCTTTCTATAACAAGCCCAAAGGTGAAGCTCTTTCATATATCTGAGGCCTTGGTCATCTTCCCAAGGGTCTCCATATCTCCTGCCCACAGGGACACCCGCATCTCTATATTTTCTCCTCCTCTGGACACCCAAGAGTCTCCACATCTTCTCCCCGTGTGGACATGGAGTATCTCCACACCTCCTCCCCATGTGGACTCTGCATATCTCCATGCCTCCTCCCCACGTGGACACTGAAGGTCTATATTGTCTCCCTGTGTGGACACCCACATCTCTCCACACCTCCTCCTCATGTGAACACTGAATGTCTCTACACCTTCTCCCCATGTGGACACCAGCATACCTCTACACTGTCTGCCTGTGTGGACACCACGTATCTCCACACCTTCTCCCTGTGTGGACACCAAGTGTTTACAAACCTCCTCCCCATGTGGACACCGAGTGTCTCCACACCTCCCTGTGTGAACAGCCAATTCTCTAAAGGTCCTCCCACTGTGTGCATCGCAGTGTCGACATACATCTCTCCCTACGTGGACACCCATGTATTTACATGAAGAGAACTCGGTGTGAAGTAGCCTGGAGCTTGCAGACAGGAGCTCCTCTTCTACCGAGGACCCAACAAATGACTTTGTTCCACTCTATGCTCTATCTCTTGTGTGGCGGGAAATGTTGTGAGCAGCAGGGTTTATCAGGAAGTGGGACTGTACTCAGGACTGCATTCTGTGATGGATGATGCCAGAATATGGCAATCGTGTCTTTAGCCAAAATCACTCTCTGATGGGCAGGGATGTTCCATTTTGTGGGGACAGTCAGCTCGACTGACACTAAATAATAACTCACCCTCCAGGACCTAGCCTAGGAGCCTCTGATGTCCTGGGAAGTACAGAGGATTATGGGTAGCAGCACCTCAGTCTTGGAAAAACACACCATTTTAGTGAAAATTGGAGTATTTCAGGCTAAAGCTGGGGGGTAAACATCTATTATTTAAAACATGAAATTCATTTTTAAGAAAAGTAATTTGAAACACTACACGTGCTCCAGCTCTTGGACTTTCTGCCTCGGGCGTGTCACTATGTCTGTCAGAACAATAGTCATAAAATCACCTGTCACAACAATGACCTCCCCTGCTTCACCTGAACAAAACACATCTGCTCCTCCCGGCCACAAGCCCCTGGTTCTTACATACACAGGCTTCTTTTTAGCTCCTTGCTGACTTCAGCACTTACACAATAATGGGTGCTCAGAGGGACAGAGGCAAATTTATGCTACGTGAACACCCAACTGGTAGATGTGTGGTATATTTATATATATATATATCTTCACCCATTCTTGGAGTATTATATAAATGACAAAGAACCACTTAATTGATGGAAAGTTTTCGCTTTCAACCAGTGGCTTTGAGTGTACACACACACACACACATGCAATCCTTGTGACAGGTTGTTTCTTCTGAAACACACCTCCTATTTTTAGTAATCTATATACGGGAAAATGATGCATTTAAGACCCAGAAGCCAAACTGCATTTTTACACAATCCCCAAAGGAACACTCCAAGGAGAACACATTCCCATCCACAGCCTGTTTTCAAGCACTTCCTGCAGCACTGACGCAGCTCTTGTGTGTGGACTTGGGGACTCTCTGTCTGTGCGTTCCCGTGACCACCACAGCCTGTGGCCCTGATGTTCCGCCACAGCAAAGCATGGTGAGCACAGCTTCAGCCTTTGTTTTCTCACAGATGACATGTGTTATATACACACCTTTCCTCCCTTTCTGTGCACACAAACCTAAATATGAGATGCAAACTCAGTGGGCAGGTCTAAGTGTCTTCAAGGCACAAGCCTGAGCACACCTGTGCCTTTACGGTCAGACAATGCTTTTCAAGGCTTAGTTTGAAGTCATCACCTTGAACTTTTCCATTCTTCCTGGTAGCCACTCAGGTTTAGTTTCATACGCCCAACATTCACATTTTACGATGGATTAGGAACCATTCCAGACTCTTGTAATCAATCCTTTCATTTACTCAGAAAGCTCTCTGTGCTCTCTATAGTCCCTTTCACTCCAAGTCGTCCTAGCTAGGGTCTATAGTGAACACAGTCTCAGAATGGAGTTGGAGTGGGGAGGCAGAAAATACGAGACACAGAAGTGCCTTGGAGGCTGAGCCCTTCTCTCTGCCTCTGCTGGGACCAGAGGCATTGGCGGAGGAGAGATGATGTGATGTGGGAAGTAATGAAGCCAAGTCTCTGCATATCCCTCCACCCCTGCTCTTGCTCAGTGGGGGACCACGGACCATAGGAAGGTCACCTCCTCATGTCACCAGTGCAGGAATAGGCGCTCTAAAGGCGAGTTCCTGCATGTGCATGCATGAGCATGATGGGCCCATGGCGGCTACTGGCCCGCCTGGCATTAGGTCTTGCTGAAGTTCATCCTAGCATGGGGGTCCACGGGGTCCCCCTCTACCTGCTCTCTGCTTTCCCTCTGCTGGTGGCCATTATGACCAGCGCACTGGCTCTGGGTGGGCCCAGCTCTCCAGTATGCTGTCTGCCTAGTGGACTATCCTGAGTAGAAAGGACACCGGCAAAGCCAAGACACTGGCTCAGCTGTGCAGACACGAGGCCAGGCAGTCGGCTGCCACCAGCAGCCTCTGAGGAAGGATAGCCATGAGTCCCCATTCCCTACAGTTCTTGGAGGACAGTGCCACAGTGGACAAAAGGTGGGAACAACCAGAGCCCTGCTTGAAAGGCAAAATTCAGCTGGAAAATTAGCTACTTCCCAGTTTCCATCTTGTTCATTTGTCAGTGATCACATTTCCCATAAACACAAAGCAGACACCTGGTTTGGGTGTAAGGGGCAGGAAAGGGTGTGTGTGAAGAATGCTGGACCACATGGCAATGCCATCCCTCCACCTGTGCAGAGGCAGACCCTGGCCTTACCCTATGCTCACTTCCCACAATACAACTGGCCCTTCCTCATGCTGGCCAACTGACCCAGGGTTGGCAGGCAGGGCCAAGAGTGGTCAGTTCCTATATGACTGGAGCCAGTGGAGGAGTTCGCAGGTGGCATAGCGGCCCTGGCTCTGCAGATGGACAAGAGCACACACCTCCAGCTCACATGTGCCGGAGTGCCCAGGTGAGCAGACTTTGTTACCTATCAATTATTCACCCAGCCCGGAGCACCTGTGATGGTCCAGATGCTATCCACTGGTTGTTCTGGCAACCTGGCAAACAGGGCCTAGTTCTTTGACCCCTGGGTCAGACCAGGCTCCAGTATAACAAGCTCCACACGTGGCCACAGGCAGTGGGCATGGCAACCAGGGGATGAGAGTGCCAGTGACTATGTCCAGATGCACATCAATGTGTGACAACAGAGAAGGGGCAGGAATTGATGCTGGCCTGAGACTACCTTAGAGGGTCAGAGTGAGACAAGAACACTGAGGCCCTGGGGCTGTTGACTCAGGTCAGGCCTCCACAGCTAACCCTGCCACAAAGGAAGGCCCTTTCCTCTAGACACACACAGGAACACACGCGTCCTAGGTGGGCCTGCACTTGGCGCACAGGGTCAGCTGACAGGAGCCTAGACCCATGGCTGGCGTGGGCTCAAGAGGCCCTGCCTTGGGGTTTCCCCAGAGTAGGAGGCACCACCTGACCATCCAACCCTGGGCGCAGCACCTGGCTAGCTGGGCCTAGCTCTGTGGGGGGCTCTGGTGGTCTGCTCGCTCTGTGGGGGGGCTCTGGTGGTCTGTTGGCTCCGTGGGGGCTCTGGTGGCGCAGCGGCTGAGGAGGGAGTGGGCTTGGGTGGGGCCCACTGAGGTTAAGTGAGAGTAACACATGGAATAAAACTTTGTGGTTTTGACAGTTACAGAAGCTGTTCTAATTTCATTTGTTTTATGATTTATGTGCAAATTCTATTTTTATCCAAACTGTGGCCCACACACTGTAAAAGGAAGCCACTCCCACAGCCCTTCATCACATACCTCACACCTGAGCCTAAGTGATTCACTGTGACAGACTCATCAGAAAACTCTTCAAATGACTGACATCCCACAGGCAAGAAATGCTGATGTGATGTTTCCAAGCCGACGGCCACTTTCTCTTGTTTAATCTCGTGAGGGGGGTGGCACAGGGCACCTAACCCCTCCCACGGCACAGCAATGTGGGAAACTTGTTTGCGGCAACTACTAACAACACATTTTTCAGATATTTTAAATTAAATTTATGTCAAAATGCCTGTTGTTTGTTGTTTTGGTTGGGTTTTTTCCCCAATTATACATGTCCGATCTCAAAAAGTTCACTGCTGTGGCGCTGGCCCGGCTCCTCAGCTTGACCCAACAGTGGACATTCAAAGGCTCTCAGTCTCATGGGGGGATCACCCATCCTCCTCCCACTGGTCAGCTGCTGGATTCGAACCATCAGAGGTTAGCAGCGCAGCCTCTACACGCAAGACCACCAGAGCTCCCTGATGTGCTGGTGTCATCTTATGCCCAGACTCTACAGTTCTAGAATGCTCCAAACCCAGTGGGCACAGTCCCACGAGCTGACCAACGGCAACAAGGTAGCGGAACCCACTCACCACCTCGGTCTATCAGTCTGTCCTACTGCGGTGGACTGTGTGGCTGATGGGTGCTAGGCCACCTGTTTGTCAAAGACCAGAGTCACCAATGGTGGACAGGCTTCAGTGGAGTCTCCAGGCAGAGACCAGGAAGAACAGTCAGCCCCTGGAAGGCCAGTGGAGGGAGTGAGGAGGATGGGCCCTGTGCCCGAGGTACACTGCTATGAGGATGCTGCACGCGGGCAACAGCATCGGCTGTCTGGACGGCACCCAGCGCGGGCATGGCCAGCAAGACCCAGAGGCCTCCTTCAAGACACCAGCAAGGACATACACTCCCTCTCTCAGCAGTCAAACACCAGTAAGAGCCTGCAAGTGAGCGCTGGACAGTGTTGGCATCCTGCCCTCAGCCCCTCTGACCCCGCCCCAGGGCAGTGTGCTGGGCCACCACTACCCGCCCCCTTCATTCCGCCTCCTTCAGAAAAGGCCTCTGTCTCCGCCTTTCAACATCTCCTAATGAGTGAGCCAAACAGAGCACCTTTGTTCCAGGAGAAGGAAGGGAGCCCGAGAGCCTGCAGTTACAGGCCACACTACATGCCACCCTCGTCTGAACCTCCCACCCTGGAAGGTGGGCCAGCAAATGCCCAGCAGGGAGCACGGTGCTCATCAAATGCCCTCCAGTGAGCAGGTACAAACCCCAACTGGAACATCCCAGACATCTCCTGAATATTCCGCCCTCTCCCATGCCCAGCCAGCACAGGGGCTCAGATCTGGGTCTTTCTGGAAAACCCGAGTCCCAGGCCTCCTTGCCCGGCAGCCATGTCATTTCTCTACTGGCTACAATGGGAGGGGACAGTCCCCAAGTCCCTCTGACTCACATCACCTCCTGTAGGGCAGGTCTGGACCCAGTTGTGGGGTGCTGGGAGGTGCACTGGAGAAACAGCTACATAAACCCTGGCAGCCAGGAGCCACTCATCCTTGACGTGGCCACCAGCCGTCACGCCAAGGGAGGGGGGTCTAAAGCTATAGGGTGAGATGAAGGACAGGAAAAGCCCATCCCAGAGCCAGCAACCAAGAGGTCAGAGGGGAGACAGTGGGCAACACTGTCCCTCTCAGGCAGCCCCGGAGCAGTTCCAGCTAAAGGGTCAGGAAGACTATATGGTTTCCATGTTCCTGAGGTAAGAAGAGCCATCGCTGTGGACCCACACCTCCCTCGAAAAACACAGGCCAAACTGCCCCCAGGGCTGACCCCACTGCTCCCCTGCCACATGACGTACTAAGGTGTGCCCCCCCAAGACCTGGAAATGCCCCCAAAGGTACACCTGGGGGGATATAAATCCTAGGAAACGGGGTTAGAAATCTAAGGAAAGGTTGCTGGAGGTGCAAGTTGAAGTTTCTGGAAAAATCACACAATTTGACTAGGGAAATGCATGCTTCTCTCCTTGCCTCTAAGTTTAACCTTTACTCGTAAGAGATGTTCCAGGTCATTGCTGGTGGGTGCTGAACTGACGCACAGCTGGCTCCCAGGGGGTTTTCAGGGCTACACATCGCAGAGGGAGAGACTGCCCATCGTTTTCCTGCACAGCAGCCAGTGGATTCAAACCGTGTGCCTACGGGCTGGCGTACCACCCGGTATCAGAACTCTGTTACAGGAGACATCCCAAAAGCAGCACACTTGAATTTCAAGATTACATTTATTTTCTTGTATGTTCTCCCCCTCCAGAAGACCTTGGAAACTGAAATTGTGAAGGTCTTAGGGAGTGGAGTCATCTCGGTGGTGGGGTCACCTCAGAGGTACAGTCAAAGCCCTCCAACCCAACTTGGTCTCCACAGACACCATATGGAGACACTTCCCCAAATAGCCCCGGGCCCTGAACAACAATGTAGTCTCTCTTCAATCTCTTCCTTTCTCTTCTCCTTCTCTGAGTCAGAAACAAGTGTTTAGTAAGGACTTGAGGTCCCAGGTGGTATCTCCCACACCAAGCAAGAATGGGGGCATTGTCTGGGGAGCCCTGAGCAGCCAGCTAGTAACTACAGATGGATTGTAGTCACTTGGCCTCCTGGGCAACACAAAGAATCAATATGCTCTGCTGGTTGAAAGGTTATAGGTTCGGGTCTACCCAGAGGGGTGTGGGAGGAATGGTCACAACCACGAGATCCCACCACAGTGTAGTCAACACCAGTGGGGACGGCCACTAGAGAGTCTCCACTCCAAGGTATCCAGTTACAGATTCACTGGGTGGAGACTCAGTGGTCAATGCCATCAAATCATGATGTCTCCTGAGATCACCCACCAGCTCTGGTCAGCTGAAACCAAGCTTCATGGAAAAGGGCTCCTGTTTCTACACCAAGTCTGACAGTCAACACCTGCAGATGACTGACAAGACACAGAGTGGGAGGCACACAACATGCCAGCCAGTAGGTGTACGGAGGAGATGCTAGGACTTGGATGCGCACACGTTCACACACGGGCCAGACTGCTGCAGTGGTGAGAAGGTGCCTTGAACCCAGAGAAGGGTGTCCACTAGAGCTCTCGCCACAGCTGGCTTCTGGCTCAATGCAGCCAGATGCACACCAGCACTGCATGCTGGAACCCTGGCTAGAGCTGTGGGTACCTGAACAATGGGGTGTCCTCCGGCTGATGCCTTCACAGCCCCCCGGCTCCCTTCCGTCTCGTAGTGGGCCCTGTGGTGGGACTTGGGCTGCACTTCGATCCGAAGCTCGTATGGTCCTGAGTGAGGCGGCAGCTGCCAGTCAAGGGCAGGCAAAGACGGGCTGGAGAGGACAGAGAACAGCGGGGAAGGTTAGACCTCAGCCAGTGTCCCAACCAGAAGCCCCAGAAGCTGTGACCCTTCACCACCTTACATTTAGTAACATTGCTCTCGAGAAGAACATCCTGACAGAGTTATCTGAAAGTCCTGGTAAAAACCAATGGTTACGACACGATGGTGTAAGGCTGAGGTCTTGTCAGGCCTCCAGGATGAGCTGCACATGCAATGGAAACACTTCCCCGCCAGTCTTAAAATATTTCCTTCCTTCACGATATGGTCACATAAATTATTTATCTCCCTAATAAGACAGATTGTGGAACTAACTGAAGATGTCTTTAAAATCAAACTGGCTTACTGTGTGGGTTGCTGGGCCATTTGGAAGCAGAAAGTTGACTTTACAGGGGGTCTTTGAGCCAGTGTACTGGAACGCAGAGGTGGGTGAAGCTGAACCTGGGAGTCCTCCTCTCTAGGTGCACGGCAGAGGGGTCTGGAGATGTGGTCAGGGGGTCTGACTCTTGCTCCTTCTCCCATCTGTCTACCTGGGGACAGTGCACTGCACAAGTAACCCCACCATCCGGGGCTCAGCAGCCTCTGACAGAACAGCAGGTCGGGGTGGGATGCTCAGGCCCCAGGTCCAAGTTCTGTGGCCACCGAGGGATGAATGAGGGCACTGGACAACCACAAGCCACGTCTGCATGAGTGAGAATGAGACCCAGAGGCCAGGCGTGAGCACCCTGGAGGCTGACGGGTTATATCCACAGCCACTACAGAGGAAAAGGGAGCACATTCGCCAAGCATGTGCGACACTGTCCTGTCCTCTGAGCCCACGAGCTGCATGCACTCCTTATGCACTGGAGGCAGGCACGACCACCTGGTGGCCCCGCGATGAGCAGCTATACTTCCAACCCAAAGGCACACACTGTGAGTCCACCAGCTGCTCTGGGGGATGAAGACGGACCATCTCCTCCCATGCAGTTTACTCCTATAACCTGCTAAAGGGTCAGCTATGCCTTGGTTTGGACTTGACAGTTGTATAACAACAGAAGAAGCCTGGGACCCACAGGGCATGCCACTCGCCACAATGACATAGCAAGGCAGTGACAAAACCAGCATTCCAACAATCATGCCTCATGGTCTCTTTCCTGTGAGAGGAAAAAGATTAAACATAAAGTCAAAATCAGGTCTCTAAGATGTACACAAGAAAAAAAGACCTGCTGGTAATTGCTAGAGCTTATGTAAGTTTGAACTAAGAGCAGACCAATTATAAAACACACGTACAAGTAGTACACATACAGACAGGTACGTCCATTTAAACCCACTGCTGGTGTCTCAGAACAGGCCCTCTGGGACCCTCCAGGGGGCTTTATGGGAGGAAACTGTCCATATTTCTGTCAGGGTAGCCGGTGGATTGGAACTGCTAGAAGCATTGTCTCTGTCAGTAGTGCAATGTGCTATGGATGAGGCCACTAAAACGCCTTCATACATGCCTTAGCATGCACATACAGGGCTGTGCACCTGGGTGACTGCACGGATACACACATCCACTCTTCACTCTACATGACGAATGTTCCAAGGACAAAGTCATTCTGTGAGAATCAATGATATGCAAAAATGGGAGATGACTACATCCGATCACAAAACATAGGATAAATATCAACAGTTTCATCTTGCTTGGATCAATAATTAAAATTCCTAGTACCAGCAGTCAGGAAATCAGGAGACATACTGCACTGGGCAAGTCTGCTGTAAGGGATCTACCCCAAAATGCTAAAGAGTGATATGTCCGTTTGAAGACTAAGGTGTGTCTGATTCAGGCCATAGACTTCTCAATCACCTGCTATGCATCAGAGAGCTGGACAATAAAGGAGGAGGACAGAAGAAGAATTGGTGCCTTTGAGCTATAGTGTTAGAGAAGAGCACTGAATATCCATGGACTTCCAAAAGAACAAAGTTGGGTGTTTTGGGTTTTGTCTTGGAAAAAGTGCAGTCAGAGCACTCCTTGGACACGTATTCTTTGGAAGGAAATGGAAATTCATGCTTGGAAAGAGGAAGGGACAGCGAAGGAGAGAAAGACCTCCACGATGGACTGGCACAGTGACTTCAGCAAGGAGCTCTAAGTGTGTCCGAGGAGATGGGGACGGCACAGGGCAGGATACTGGTTGGCTGGTCAAAGTGTTGCTAGGAGCTGTACTCGACTTTACGGAGTCTAACAACAGCAACAGTTAAAACTGCCAAACACTGGGTATCATGGCCCAGCCAGGCTGACACACAGCCTTAACCACGGTAGCTACAGCTATGCCTAATCACACTTCTAAGTTGTTAAAGTGAAAAATAGTTGGACAGCAAGGCTTTCCACTATTGTTATAAAATGTCAAATAACAAGACAGTAAGTGAGAAGTTGTGGTTGTAAGGTGCTGTTGAATAGAGTATGACTTACAGCTTCTTGAATTATTTGACTGGATAGGTATGGAGAAGGATACAGCCCTGACACACACTTTATGACTTTAAGCCATGTAGAGTCCCTTCGCTCTATGCAGACAGCAGGTCTAGGTATGGATTTCATATGAGGACCAGTACGCATTCTTGGATTCCCATTCTTTCCTGTGTTAGCCGTGATTTACTATGATGTACACAGTCAAATGCCTTTGCATAGTCAATAAAACACAACTAGACATTCTACTGGCATTCTCTGCTGTCAGACAAGATCTAACTGACATCAGCAGTGATATTACTGCTGCCACAGCCTCTTCTAAATCCAGCTTTAATTTCTGACAGTTGTCTGTCAATGTACTGTAATGGCCATTACTGCACAATCCTCATCAATATTTTGCTTGCACCTGATATTAATGGTATTTTTCATTCAATGGATGGGAACAAATATGGATCTCTTTCAGTCAGCTATCCAGGTAGCTATCTTCCAAATATCCTGGTGTAGACTGGAGAGCACATCCAGGGCTGTATCTTTTAGTTGAGACAGCAATATTCATCAATTCATGGGGTCTTATTTTTCACAATGCCTCCAATGCAGATTGAATTTCTTCCTCCGTCATCATTGGCTCTTTGTTTTCTTTTCTTTTCATTTTTACCATTGACTCTTGTTTATACGGTACTTCCCCAAATGGTTCCATATCTGTCAATTCTCTTTGGTACAGTGACTGTGAGCATTCCTTCCATCTTCTTTTGATGCTTCCCAGATCATTAAAGATTTTGCCCCTAGCATCTCTCAGTATTGCAACTCAAAGCTTGAATTTGTTTTTAAATTCTTTCAGCTTGAGAAATGCTGAACTAGTTCTTTCCTTTTTATTCCCCAACTCCAGCTCTCTGCACATTGTTAAAATACCTTGCTTTGAATTCTTAAGCTGCTCTTTGAAATCTTCTGTTCCTTTCTTTTACTTCAGCATCTGTTCCTTTATTTTGGCTTCTTAAAGCCATAGTCTTCGCAATTACGTGCTATGCATCAGAAAGCTGGATAAAACCTAAAGATGATAGAAGAAGAATAGATGCCTTTGAGCTGCGGTGATGGAGAAGAGTACTGACTGGCAAATAACAACAAAGCTCTAGTGTAATCTCCAGTGTTTGTTAATACCCATTTTGGTCTTTTCTTCCCTGCCTTTGTAACGACCTTTTGCTCTCTTCATAGATGATATCCTTGACGTCATCTCAAAACTTATCTGGTCTTCAATCACTAGTGCTCAATGCCTCAAATCGATTCTTGAGATGGTTTTAAATTCAGGTGGGATAGCCTTGACATTGTATTTTTGTTTTGTGGACTTGTTCTGATTTTCTTCAGTCTCAATTTTAACTTGCACATGAGCAGCTGTTCTGTTCAGAGTCAGCATCTGGCTTCATTTTGACTGCTGCTGTTGAGCTTCTCCAGTGACTCCTGCATACTGTGATTCCTGTGCAGTCCATCGGGCGGGAGCCACGTGGACACTCACCGTTTTTGTTTCTTAGTAAAGATATAAGTGTGTATAAACAAAAATACATAAGTATGTGTATTAATAGAAATAAAAATGTATATATAGCCATTTTTTGCTGTGTTTGAGTTAAAATCAACTCTTTTTTCTCTTTTTAAAATTTATTATTAATTTCAATGAAAATTTACAGAGACTTTGGATTTCCATTCATTCATTGTTGCACTTTTCTCCCCTCCAAGCCCTCCCCCCCCAGTACACTACCCTCTTGGAAAAGTAAAACAAAAATTCTTTCATTGTTTTACAAACCCTCCCCCAGGTCCACTCCACCATGTTGCATTTGCTCTGGACTCCCGTCATGACAAAAATACCTAATCACATATCCCTTTTAAACAGATTTCTCCCTCATCTGTTTCAGTGTAGTATATACATTATTGAACCCATCTTTCTCAGTCTCCCCCCAACCCCGAGGTCAGTCCCGTTTTACAACAGTGGCACCATGCAGTATTTGTCCTTTTGTGACTGAGATACTTCACTCAGCATAATGTCCTCCAGGCTCACCCATTTTTAATAATATTGCATGAGTTCCGTGTTTTTCATTGCAGTGTAGTAGTCCATTCTGTGAATATACCACAGCTTCTCTAGCCATTCTTTTGTTGATGGGCACTTAGGTTGTTTCCAACTCCTTGAACAAAGCTGCAATAAACATGGGTGTGCATATGTCTGCTTGGATGTCAGTTATGGTCTCTTTGGGGTATATTCCCAGTAGTGGAATTGCTGGGTCAAATGGTATCTCTATTTGCAACTTTTTGAGAAAGTGCCATACCACCTTCCACAATGGTTGCACCATTTTACACTCCCACCAACAGTGAATATGGGTTCCAGTTTCTCCACAACCTCGCCAGCATTTGTTGTTTGCTGTTCTGTTAAATTTTGCTATTCTGGCTGTGGTGAGAAAATATCTCATAGTTGTTTTGATTTGCTTCTCTCTTAGAGCTAGGGATTTTGAACATTTCATCATGTGTTTGTTCGCTATCTGAATGTCTTCTTTGGTGAAGTGTCTGTTCATATCCTGTGCCCATTTTTCTAT